CCCCAAAACCCCAAAACCCCAAAACCCCAGGATAAGGGACCAGGATTGAATTTTAAAGTGTAACAACTTAATGGGAGACATCATACATACTTCTCTTTCCCATTTCGATAAAGAAAAAGATAATAGTCAGTACCAATGATATCATTGACAATATCATTCCTGTGTAGTTAGAACTTCTGCCATCTATTAAAGAGTCTCCGTAATTCTTGAACATTAAATTTGCATAATCGCTGGAACAATCAGACTCCCGCATTTGAAGAATAGACTCTTCAAACTCATTAGCTGTTGACACACAGGACCAGAAGAGATAAGTCTTGACCATGAGTAAGATTGTAACAATGCTGAAGGAAATAACTTGGAATGATTTGCTACAGATTATCTATTCTCTTACCTCTCAGATCCTTTATCTCATATCATGTAAAGAGAGATTGTTTCTAATATAAGTCAGCAGACAATCGTCTAAAGGGTTAATAAAGTAATTACATAGATAATGCTGACTATTAAGAGGGTAAACTGAAGCCTATATCTGAGATTTCGTAAGTTACTTAGTGACATTTGATGAATCATCAAGTAGAGAAAGCATTGATTCTCTGTCAATATCTTTATGATTTTCTCAATCAACATTCCAGTAGTTGTACTCATTCGAGTAAAGATTCCATGTGTATTTGGATGAATCCTCAATTGGGTATTGAGGTAAATTTGACAACATAAGATACAGTCCTACAACTTCTTAACAGGAAGTTTACCATTGTCTTTAAGTAATCTTTCTTCGTTGATTGAGCCAATCAGATCATATCTGGTGTCATAGTAGCTGTCTGACACCTTCTGGTTACATGAGTGATAATTATTTGTGTTAAGAAGCTTATAAGGGATTCTTCCCTCTGTGATCATGTCAGTGTCTGGATTCGCACAAACCTGTCCTTCTGTTAGTTTGAATCTAATCACTGGCAGTCCTGTGTAATTCGTTGTGAATGCGAGCATCACCTATATGTCAAATGTCTATTTTACTCCAGATGAAGAGTCTATTGGGACAACTTCATATCCAGGTTTGGGAGCTTGTCCATTCATAAGAATTTGGACATCATTAATAGGACATCTTTCTTGTTCTCTAACACAGATGATTTGGTTGATGTCTCCAGTCCCACATGGTTTATGGCCAAATGGACATTTGATTCCTCCAGCGATTTTTCTGGGTCTTTCAGTGTCTACAAAGTTTTGTCCTTCTCTTAAGCCACAGATTTTGGCTGAATAGAATTTATCAAGAGGAGCACTATCAACAGGATACACATCTACTCATCCTTGTAGTGTTTGGTTGTAGGAGCAGCTTCCTGTATCTAAGTCTGGGTATATGCTGAATCCCCAAACCGCTCTTTTTCAGTCACATCCATGAACGGTTCCTGGCCACTCTCTTTCAATCAAATTGTCATATCCAAGAGGGCATTCAGTGGTCGAAACAGTGATGTCGACAAGAGGTAGAGTTGTCCAATTTTCCTCAAAATCTTCAAGAGCATTACTATAAGCATTAAGCTGAACATAAGCCATAATTGCCATGATAAGGGTAATGATTCCAAAAATTATGATCGCGATTCTATATAATATGGATAGAATTATCGGGAGATTTGACTGCTCTCCAACATATTTAGAAGCCCAGTCCAATGGCCTATAGATATTAATCTTCTCCATACCCAGCACCTGCCCCTGAAGCTTGTCCTACTGCAGGATCTTGCAAATCATTTTTAGCTGCATTGTTATGCATCTTTGAAATTTAAATAATTTCTTAATGTTCTTAGTGCTCTAATAAGCTGGGGTTTTGGGGTTTTGGGGTTTTGGGGGTTTGGGG